CTTTCGTGGGTAAGAAACTAAGTGAGGGTCTTACGCACGAAAGCTTATGCTCCCAATACTTCTGTTAGTCTCAAAGGTGCCACAGGACCCTCTGTTGCTTTTTACAGATTCAGACTAACACGGCTACCCCTCTGATACTGAACATAAGCGCTTGAAATATGAAATATAAAGTGGTCTAAAAAATAACTTCTTACCTGTTTCACATTGGTGTTTATAACTGTGCTTTCAGCCTCTGCCATCTTCTATCTCCGACCTCAAACAACAGAAAATAAATTATTAAACTTTGACGACTATGTTAGATCAAATTCAGACTCAGGAGATGTTTTAAACTTTTCAAATTTTAATCAACAAGTGGCATGGCAGTAGAGGACGCGTGGAGAGAGGGGCGGGCAGGGTCGTCTCCCGTCCTCTCCAGATTTGCTGCTTGGCTTGTACTGGGCATGCTCACATGGACTGAGCATGATCAGTCACGCTGCGGAAGCCACTGCCCTCACTCTGCCCTCCCCCACAATCGGCAGGCATGGGTCACCTACAAAAGAATAAATGTCTGATCCAACCATTTCAATCTAATCTGATCATTACCAAATTCATCCACATTGCCTCCTATTCAGCCAATGTCAGATCTGATACTTATGAAGGGTTGGTTAGCTTCAGAAATCCAGTAATTAGCACTAGAATAGAACTAGTCACTAAAAATAGTCAAACAACAGAAGTTGTGATAAAAATAAAAAATGGACCCTTTGCATTTCAGGCCTCTGTGCATAGTGTTTTTAGGGCTAAGCCTTTATATTCTGAGATAGACTGGGATGGAGGCACTGGAAAGGGATTTAGGAGATCTGAGTTTCGTTCCTGGCTCTGCTACAAAGCCCAGGTGTGACCCTGAGGAAGTCCCTTAAATCTTCTTCTGCCTCAGTTGCCATCTGTAAAATGGGGATAATAGTTCTCTAACTGACAGGGGCATGTTGGGAGACTAGACTAGGCTAAATGCATTGAACAGCTAAGAGACAAATTCTGCTTTGATTAATACTCCTTGCAATCTCCACTGGTATAAATCAGGACAAAAATTGAACCAAAGGTTCTGGTTCCCTGGATCTTTCTGCCTCTTTCTCAGTAAGAGGAAGGTGCTGGTGCAGTAGGCATGGAGGGTGTCCATAGATCTGTGGAAATGAATTAAGCTTGTTAATCTGTTACTTTCCTAAATTGAAAGTCTTTTTTTTTAATTTACCATGCAAATCTATATCAGACATCAGGGTAAGTCTGTATTAGATCACATCCATTTACTGAACCAGTACAGAACACAGACAGTAAAAACATGGAGTGAAATCATAGATCTACGTAAGTTGGTAAAACTCCCATTGACTTCAATGGACCAGTCTTTCAACCATGGATCTTATCTAGGGCTGGTCGAATACTTTACAACAAAACTATTTTTTGATGCAAAATTGGGTTTTCGACTGGAGACTTTTTTTGAAGAAGCATGTGCTTTCTGAAGATAATTTCAATTTTTCATCAAAAAATAAACACCTGAAAACCGAAAAAATTTCACTATTCAGCCAAAACCCAAAATACTTCAACTGAAAACCAAAATATTTTGATTCTAAAATGCCATTTTGGTGCCTCATGGGAGTTGTAGTTTGGGTGCCTCATAGTCTCATTCTCCTCCATGGGCTAGGCTGCCTACCTGGACTTGATCTCCCATGATGCACTGTTTGCTGTAATCAACCATAAAATATTCAGCACTTTCATTACTAAAAAGTAACCTTGTTATGATTTCACTGGGCAAACATGTTTCACTGCAAGAGTTTAATTTTATAGGTCTCCTGCCAAAGCTAAGAGTACTGCAACAGAATAGAGTTGTCCAAAAAACAGTTTGCATCCAATTAATTAAACAGGGTTGTTATTATTATTGTTGGTATTTGTTATTTGCGTTACTGTAGCACCAAGGAACCCAGGCAAGGGCAAGGGCACCAATGACTGGAGGACAGCTAATGTGACGCCAATTTTTAAAAAGGGCTCCAGAGGTGATCCCGGCAATTACAGGCCAGTAAGCCTGACTTCAGTACCGGGCAAACTGGTTGAAACTACAGTATAGCAAAGAACAAAATTGTTAGACACATAGATGAGCATAATTTTGTTGGGGAAGAGTCAACCTGGTCTTTGTAAAGAGAAATCATGCCTCCCCAATCTATTAGAATTCTTTGAGGGTGTCAACAAACATGTGGACAAGGGGGATCCAGTGGATATTGTGTACTTAGATTTTCAGAAAGCCTTTGAAAAGGTCCCTCATCACAGGGGCTTAACATAAGAATGGCCCTACTGGGTCAGACCAAGGGTCCACCTAGCCCAGTATCCTGTCTTCCAACAGTGGCCCATGCCAGGTGCCCCAGAGGGAATGAACAGAACAGGTAATCATCAAGTGATCCATCCCTGTCACTCATTCTCAGCTTCTGGGAAACAGAGGCTAGGGACACCATTCCTGCCCATCCTGGCTAATAGCCATTGATGGACTTATTCTCCATGAATTTATCTAGTTCTTTTTTGAACCCTGTTATGGTCTTGGACTTCACAACATCCTCTGGCAAGGAGTTCCACAGGTTGACTGTGCATTGTGTGAAGAAATACTTCCATTTGTTTGTTTTAAACCTGCTGCCTATTAATTTCATTTGGTGACCCCTAGTTCTTGTGTTATGAGAATTAGTAAACAACACTATCTTATCTACTTTCTCTACACCAGTCAGGATTTTATAGATCTCAATCATATCTCCCCTTAGCTGTCTTTTTTCCAAGCTGAAAAGTCCCAGTCTGATTAATCTCTCCTCATATGGAAGCTGTTCCAAACCCCTAATCATTTTTGTTGCCCTTTTCTGAACCTTTTCCAATTCCAAAATATCTTTTTTTGAGATGGGGCAACCACATCTGCACACAGTATTTAAGATGTGGGCATACCCATGGATTTATATAGAGGCAACATGATATTTTCTGTCCTATTATCTATCCCTTTCTTAATTATTCCCAGCATTCTGTTTGTTTTTTTGACTGCCTCTGCACATTGAGTGGATGTTTTCAGAGATAACTCCAAGATCTCTTTCTTGAGTGGTAACAGCTAATTTAGACCGCATCCTTTTATATGTATAGTTGGGATTGTGCTTGCCAATGTGGGCTTGTCTATACTTACCGCGCTGGTTCGGTGGCAGGCAATCGAACTTCTGGGTTCGATTTATCGCGTCTTGTCTTGACGCC